GCATTTTGTAAATGGCTTCAGGGGTAACAACCTTGTCAGGTGAGGGATTACTTTTTAGCCCTACTTTGACTATGTTTTTAGCTCTACCCAAAAGGTGGTTCAGAACCTCACCGGAATGCTCAGCTTTTGGACAGTCACACTTTTGTAAGTATAGCTCCATTAACTCTATCCATTCATGGACAGAGTGTTTGTCTGTACCATCACCACGGAAAATGGGAGGTTCTCTATTGTCAGATCGTACAATCAGATTCAACCTGGATAGGTCAAGAGTAGTGATAGCATGCTCACTTTTAACTGTCAAGGGGCTAGTCTGATGCCCCAGAGTAGGACTACGATCGGCTAAAAGCCTATCCAGAATGCTATCTCCAATTTGGCTACCCAGCTCTTCAATGAGCTCTGTAAACTGCAGCCGAGAATCATCAATGATAGGAGCAGGTGTAAATGAAGCACCAGAATTAATGTTGTCCCCCTCTTGTGAGTAGCGCAGATTAACATTACAAGTTTGATCATTTTCCTTACGTCTCACAGCACCATCTGTACTGATTAAACCTCTACCTCTCCCCAAGACTGGTGTAGACATGTTGTACATTTTACTTTCTGTACTAATCACCTGCTAAAGTAAATTGATCCATTGTCTTAAAGATTTAATGTCCAATCCAAAAGTCAATGTCTTAGAATGTCAGGAAAAATTGAATGTAACTGAGATGAGAGAAGTTCATTATCTGACACTGGAAGGCAGGACGCGACCCTCGGCTTGACACCTGACAGGCAACTGCGGCCGGCTTGCAGAATCCACGGAAGTCACCGCGAAAATCCCACATAGACGGTCGGACCCCGGTGATTGGCGGCGGCTGATCGGTTGTATCCTAGAAGGTCACGGCACCAGTTTTTATGTAGCAGATCTGATTCTGTACATAAGGAATTTCACTCTGGAGACAGTAGGCCAGCTTCAAAACAGTACCATTTATTGATCTGAAACACATGGGACACTTGATAAGAGAAACATCCGTCGCGCTAACTTCTTCCGTTAAACACTGTGCACAAACCATGAGTTTGTTAGCTCCACGTGCGTCAGACAAAAGTCGCATAAAACTCACAAAGTAACCAATACACAAAAATACATTTGTATACTTGACTCAGAACACATTCAGTTTTATATTTAATGAATTTGGGTCATAATTTTAATCAGTCTATTAACTGGTTTTACTAATCTGCCAGCCCTTGTTATGACTGGGTGAGCAGTTTCGGTTAAAGGCTGAACAATCTCGCCAGAGACTTCATCAGGTGGCATGGACTCTTCTATGTCAAGCTCAACTTCCTCCACATCCATGGTAGAAAGGTCAGACTCAGAGTTCTGAACGGTTTTCCGATTCTCACATCCGTGAACTGATCCATCAGAGACATGCTCTAGTCCTGCTCTAGAACTGGGATCCCTGGTTCCCTCTTCCACTGATGTGCTTAATGGACAAGCTGAGGAATGAGCTGACCCAACAATTTCGTTACAAGCATCCTCTGATTCATTCAAGGTAGTGTCAACCACAGACTCATCAGTCTCACAGTCCGACTTGGAGTCATAGAAGGCCGGTTCTACACAGTCCTCCCTCTCATCAACAGGTAAGAAGTTGGCTTGTAAGAGCAAGTTCCTGTGAACCACCTTCTCCTGATTGGTTTGAGTGTTCCTCACATGGTAGGTATGACATCTTGTATCCACAGATACCACAACATGCAAAGTTGAGTCCCATTTGTCGGCTAGCTTGCGTCGCCCACGCTCTCCTTTGTTGGCGAGCAACACATAATCTCCTAACTCAATGTCACTGCCTTTGACGTCTTTGTTGTAATGCTCAGTTTGCCGTTGTTGACTTGCAGTGTTGTTGGCCTGAGCAAGTAACATAGCTTCTTTGAGATCGTCCTTCATTTTTCTCACATACTGGTCATAGTCTGTGACATTGTTATCCCGATCCACGCTCTGGAACATCAAATCGACAGGCAATCTGGGGATCCGACCGTACATGAGAAAAAACGGTGCAAAGCCGGTTGACTCATGGGCAGTACAATTGTAAACAAACGTCAAGGTTTGCAGCATTTGTGGCCAGGCTTGTTTGGCTCTCGGAGGCAATGCCCTGATCATATTACCCAAGGTGCGATTGAACCTCTCGACTTGGCCATTGCCCATCGGGTGATATGCTGTGGTTCGTGACTTCTGTATGCCAGCAATTTGTAAAAGTTGCTTGATCAACCCGCTTTCAAAGTTCGCACCTTGGTCTGAGTGGATTCTTTGTGGAAATCCATAGACACAAAAGAACGTATCCCATAAGTGACGAGCGACTTGAGCTGCTGACTGGTTCTTGCACAGGAATGCATTCGCCATTTTCGTGAAGTGGTCTGTTACCACTAATACATTGACACTCTTGCCAGAAGAATCTTCAGCACACCAGAAGTCTATGCACACTAATTCTAATGGGCAGGTGGTTCGAATGCTTTCTAAAGGGGCTCTTCCCTCTGGTTCAGGGGTTTTTGCTGACTACACAACGTTGACAGCGTCTTACATACTCTCGGGTGTCACTCTCCAAACCAACCCATGAAAATCTCTGCCTAGCCAAAGACAACGTTCTTCCTTGGCCTTGATGGCCTGCCTCGTCGTGGATGCCGCACAGGACTACACTGACCAGCTAATCAGGGACTATGAACTGGGAACGTGTAAACCTAGTCACTGGATCCTTGCAAATGCGGTACAGTATATCATCCAACAGCTTTAGTCTGTCCCATTGCTTCAGCAGTTTCAGAGCCTTGTAAGGTTCCTTACCTCTTTCTCTCCGAGACGGTCTCTTACCTCGGCACACATAGAAGAGAACTCTTGAAAGCACGCGGTCACTTTCTTGCTTCTCTTGAAGCTCTTTCAGTGAGTAGACGGGCAAGGGGTTCTGACCAACTGGTAATGTCATACACTCTCATCTTCAGCTGGTACATACACTTTGGCGCAACTTGACCTCCGCCACATCCAACCAGCATAACATTGGCCTGCATCTCGCACTGATCCAGCAACAACCCTGCATCAAGTAGACGGGACTCTGCAACTTCACTGATGGTGCAGGCCATAGAGTCACTGTCTAACAAGGCTCTTAGAGGAACGCTGTCATTGACTAAAACGTTAGTATAGAAAAGGCTGTCTGCCCGCGCCAACCGGGTCACGTTCTGAAACAGAACCATATTATCACTTGTCACTGACTTACAAGTCGACTCATATATGCTTGATGCATCATCTTGGAGGGTCTGAACTTCTTCACCCACATTATCCCCTCCCAAATGCAGGTGTGTCAGTTTCCCTGAATCTGAGAGCGGCTCCCAGACTCGGCACTTTTCCTAGGGCAATCCCTGCACTGGTGACCAACTTCTAAGCAGATCAGACATCTTTTCTCTGACATGCAGTGTGACCATGTGGAATGGGTTCTCTCACTGCAAACGCGACATTTGGATGGACAAGACCAGGAGTGCAATTGAGGTCTATTAGGAGCAGCCTGTGTATTAGTGCGGTCGAGCACCATCTCCAGCATGCTGAGCACTCGCTCTAACGTACCGGTGTCAGTCAAGACAGTATGTGGAGGCGGTGTGGTGATCTCAGGCTTAGTGGTCTGGGTACTGGGGATGCACACTGCGGTGTTCACTGCATCATTGACCACAGTGGTGGCTTCTGCATGGCTGACTGTGGCAGTTGCTACTTGGAACGAACAGCCAGGGAGAGAGTAAGAGTGTGGTTTCTTTATTCTCAGCTCCCTTTGATGCTCATCTATTGCTTCCTGAACCTCTGCCGATGACCACTTGGTGATAGGCTTGTACCTGAACACACTAGAAAGCTCAGCATCAGGGCAGTTTCTAATAAACATCATTGAGATTTCTTGTGAAATGTTCTTCATTCGACTACCCTGTTTCTGCAAGTAATTATCAGCGATTTTGGCCGCATTATTGAGATGGACCCAATAGTCAACAGGGCTTTCTTTGTCATGTGGCAGTGTAGAGTAGAAGTCTGCAAGTGGAAGACAAGACTCTGGGCTTTCACTGAAATAACATAAGAGCATTTTGTAAACGGTCTCGGGAGTAGCAACCATGTCAGGTGAGGGGTTACTTTTTAGCCCTACTTTGACAATGTTTTTAGCTCTACCCAAAAGATGATTCAAGATCTCATTGGCGTGCTCCGCCTTCGGGTGATCGCACTTCTGTAAGTATACCTCCATTAACTCTATCCATTCATGAACAGTATGTTTATCCGTACCATCACCACGGAAAATAGGAGGCTCCATACTGTCAGATCGTACAATCAGATTCAACCTGGATAAGTCAAGAGTAGTGCTAGCCAGCTCGCTTTTGACTGTCTCGGGGGCAGTCTGATGCCCCAGAGCAGAGGGACTACGATCAGCTAAGAGCCGGTCCAAAATACTATCGCCAATTTGGCTACCTAGCTCCTCAAGTAGCTCCGTTACCTGCAAATGAGAATCATCGTTTATTGGGGCAGGTGTGAATGATGAAGCACCATAATTGACTTTTTCCCCCATTTGCGAAAGGCTAAATTTGACATCATCAATTCGATAATTTTCTTTATGTCTTGCAACAGCATCTGAACTGCTGAAACCTCTACCCCTCCCCAAGACTGGTGTAGACATGTTGTACATTTTACTTTTTGTACTGATCACCCGCCAAAGTAAATTGATCCAATGTCTTAAAGGTTTAATGTCCGATCCAAAAGTCAATGTCTTAACGATGTAAAAGAACCTGAGCGTCACTGCAATGAGGAAACTTCATTAGTTGACGCTGGAAGGCAGGACTCGATCCCCGATTTGACACCCGGCCACAACTGCAACGACCGGCCCGATGAATCCAAGGAGATCACAGCAACAGCTCCATGTAAACGGACAACACCCGGTGATCGGCTGCGGCTGATCAGTTGTATCCAAGATGGTCACGGCACCAGTTTTATGTAGCAGATCTGATTCTGTACATAAGGAATTTCACTCGAGACAGCAGGCCAGCTTCAAAACAGTTCCATTTATTGACCTGAAACACATGGAACACTTGATAAGAGAAACATCTGTTGCGCTAACTTCTTCCGTTAAACACAATAATGACTGTAAGAAGAGAAGGGAAAATGTGCGTCTTGCCTCGCCAGCGTCCATTCGCGGTCTCAGACTGACATGTTACAACAATTTATGTTTAACACATTTAAACAAGTAATAAGGAAAATAAAATAAAATTA